TATTATTGACATAAAGATTTTAATATTTATTATTATTTACTCATGAATGCCTGTTTTTTCAGAAGTGACATTATGCCATTTCCTTCGAGTTGGAAGCATTAGCCCTTAATCCCTGGTTATATATATTATATTATATATATATATATAATATATAATATATATATATTATATATATAATCCAATGGTTATATCCAATGGTATTTGTGGAATAAGCTTTCCAAGTTTATTCCAAGTGAAGCACACTATAAACTTGTATTTTTCCTAAATATTTCCCTGGCATTATTCCTGGGGAACCTTGGCTTGTAGAGACCTCTTGCCAAGTTCTGCTGTTCTTCCACATGGTTTCAACCCCATGGTTTAAAAACTTTGGGATTGTTTCCCTCTTTGGTTTGTACAGGCATGCCTCCACTCATGCATTAATTCAGGTCAGGAGGGTATTTTAAAGATAATCCTCACTAGCAGTGCTTTTGTTTACACAGCAGAGTTGGCTGGGAGGTCACAAACTGATTCTTTCTGGATGAAACTGCATCTCAAAACCAAGAGTGCACAGCCTGCTCCAAGGACTGAGAAGCCCTTGGAAAGGCTCAGGCTGAGGGAAACTGAGGCCACACAGATTAGGACATCAGGCTCTCTGTACCAGCTCTTTTGGCTCTGTAAAAGCAGTTTGATGGGGCTGCTCTCGTTAGTCTGTATCACCAAGCATCCACTTCAATCATTTATCATGGTCACCTCACTGAGCCTCATGAGGCTTAAGTTCTTTAATATTCACTAGCATGATTCCAGCCCAAAGAAATTTCCTCCACACATCCCAATTTCCTTGATTTTTTAAATCTTTCCTTACTGTCTTTTCTTCCCTTTATTGAAAACTATTAGGCAACTCTTCAGCAAACAAAATTTGGTTCAGTAACTATTTTGCTAGGCCTTCAATCTACTTACTGATCTTCAAAGACAATGTTGTTTGCCAAAAGACTGCCTAGCATGAAGTTGCTAAATTTACACTTCCTTTACTACACAAGTTACTCTGTTCTTCAAAGGTGCTCCCTGAATCCCAGAGAAATTACAAACACCCCCTTTTGAGCTGGTGCCTGAGTAATATGATTGTAATACAATTAAGTTCATCTCCTGGGAAACAGTTTGGAGAACACAAGATGATTTAATGGTAGACAGACATTAAGAGCCTAGCTTTCATTTCAAGGATTTATTTTGAAAAACAGTAGTGGGAGGGGGTTTCATGCTGTCATTAGAAGAGTGGGAAAAGCAAACACGGCTGATTTGCATGGTGAGATCCTGACATGCACTGAAGGAGAACAGTACATTATCACGTACATGCTGTACTTGTGAGAGCAAGAATTTCATATGGCCAGGAAAATTCAACCAATTAAGTGGTAAATCCAACTGGCTGAACAGTGGCAAATTAATTACAAAGTGCTGGTTCACACAAACACAGATGCTTCCCTGATGTAACTTACTGTGACAGGAGCTACAGAGCCTTGAACTAAAGGATGGTTACAAAATATTACTAAAAACACTTGGAATTTGTTACAAGAGAGCATTTAAAGCTCTGAACTCTGATTAGCTATTACACACAGTATTAGTTTTGCATAGTAATAGTGCATTTTTAAATTTAAGCAGTGAAAAATAAAAAAGGATCAGGGCATATAAAATTAACCTTTGAAAGCAAAGTTTCCTGACCCTTCTGAAAGAGAAGAGTTGGAGACTTTCTTGGTAGTACTGTTTTTTGCCTTTTTAGTGCTGTTTTCTGTGACCTTCTCTCATTATCTATTTTGTTAATCAAAAAAATCCACCCAAAACCAAAACAACAGGGAAGGGAGCTGCGAAGTTTCACTAGCAGAATACTCAGCTAAATTTAAAAGAAGTAGACTAAAAAGTTGAGGATCAAGATTTGTAAGGATTTCTGTAAAACAGGAATGAGGCAGGCCAGAAAGAACAAAATAAATGGATGACAGGAATTAATCATAAAAAGAGTTTTCCAACCAAGTAAAACTTAAGGAAAACAAACAAAAATTCCCCCCAGCCCCACCCCATTTGAGATTAAACACCATTTCTTGGCTTAATACATATTTGCTTTTAAGGACAAGCATTTTGAATCAGCATTACTTTTACTTCTTATTACCAACAAAATGATATTTCCTACTTAAAGCTCCTAAGAGGTAAGCTGCTTTCCAAAACAGTTGCACAGCTGTTTTACAGAAGCTCTGAAGTGCAACGTTACCATTCCACGTATTACCACATCAGAATTCCTGTCTGCAGACAACTAAGCTGAGCTGTTATGTCTGGTCTTTTATAGCAGCTTATCTTTCGTATTAGTAAATAAAACACCCCAAGGAAATTACAGTTAGAGGGCTGAGATTAAAAGGAGGCTCCATTACATTTACATCCTCACACTTAGAGCTGCACTTGCTTCATGTGAAATTGCCCAGGAGTGTTGAGGCCACGCAGGCTCTCAGCACAGCTGCAAGCAGTAGTTAAACACAAGGTTCCCATGGACTGGTGCTCTCAGTACTAGAGAGGCATAGCTCGGAAAATCAGGATTTACACATTTACCTGATAGCCCCCTCCTCAGTAAAGAGACCTAGAAGGCAACACTTTGTATGTGAAAACAACTGCACCATGTTTCAGCTGAAAATGCTAGTCTTAAGCCTGACCAGGCACATTTAAAGGAAATTAATAAATATGTAGTGGGCAGCATTCATGGAAGCAACAGCACAAAACACTGAGTGGGGTGTAAAGACCAAATTCCCTGAGTCACTTTTGGTCACTCTACTGCCCTTCAAGTTATCACATAATGCATGCACCTACAGTAACGTGGATCAAAAAAAGGAATATTCCCTTGTCTGCTTTGTTCCTCAGGCACAAAGAACTTGTCAATGCAAACTGTCTTGGAGCACCCAGGGAGAACTCATTCATTACTTTAACATCCTAAATGTAATGGGAGAATAGCATGGAAGTCTGACAGCCACAAAAACCACCTCCAAAGCAGCCTTTTTGCACAGATACATGAGGATTTTGTGCAACATATGATCCTTGTACCAAATTCAACATTTTTAGAGCAACTCGGGGCTCCAGCACCTGTGGATGTTAGTGACTTATGCCTGTACACCAAGGTGCGAAGGAGAGGTGAACATGCAGAGATGCCCTCAGGAGGTTTTATGTTCACAGAATGATCACAAATGTTCTAAAAGTAAGACATAACTAATGGTTGAAGCAGTAATAAGGAGGGGGAAATAAAAATCCAGCATTTTTCTAATAGAACTGTTCCTATTTCCATTCCTTTCAACAGGTCTTCATTCAGACCAGTGGCCCCCTAGGGGAGGAACAGAACTGTTTGTTCACTGCAGAACAAAATCAAACACCAAAAAATCAAGAAGGGGAACAATAATAAAAGCAGAAAAATAACTGCTGTTTTCAAAAAGCACTTCCTAACCAAATTAGAGAGAGAGAAAAAAATTTAGAGTATTTCCCTTGGATTTGCAGATGGAAGAACAAAGCAGTAAGTTCAAACAGCTTCCCATGACAGTAAAGGCAATCCACAGGATAAACATAGCACTTTATGTAATTTAAAATAAACAAACAAAAACAATCAGAAAACCATCAAGATCCATACCATTCAAGAAAGATGGATTCTATGTAAGAACTTAAATTTTCTTTGGTAGAAAAGAAACTGTTAACTTAAAACTAAATGTTTCATTTAAATAAGACATATAACTGATCCACAATAATTACAAGATACTAACACACAGCAAAACAGTTTTGCAAGTATTACTTTCAAGAGAATAGTTTCAGATTAGATATTGAGAAGAAATTCTTTACGGAGAGTGTGGTGAGGCACTGGCAGTGATTGCCCAAGGAATTTGCAGTGTTCCCACCCCTGGAATTGTTCAAGGCCAGGCTGGATGGAGCTCTGAGCAACCTGGTCTGGTTGGTCCCTTGCCCAAGCAAGGCAGGGGCTGGAACTCAGTGATCTTTAAGGTTCCTTCCAACTAATTATTTTAATTACTATATTAATCAAAGCAAAGTAAAATTATCTGCCGAATTATCACCCAAAATTATCTGCCCACAATTCAGAGGAAAACTTCTCAGAATGTTATATTACTGTTCCTCCTTTGCATTTGATTTTTGTATAGACACTTAGATTCAACGTTGACAAAAGGCCAACAGTGCCACAGAAAGGGACATGAAAATACTTCCATGACAAACTGAACTGTAAGAACCACAGTATCCTGTAAGAAAGATTTCTTACAGTGAGATTTTCTTTTGGCAAAGCAGGGGAGTTAAATTTAACTATTTAATATCTGAGAGTACATGACAGTTCTCCCATTTCAGCTCCCTTTGCTCCAAATAGTCCTCTATGAGGTGAGGCCTAGAAGGCATGCTGACAGAACATTTATGTGTTTTATATGCTAATGGGGGAAAGCTTTTGCAAGAGCTGCATATTACATGTCCCACAGGGATCAGGTAATCACTGAGTTAAATGGAGACTTCAGCACTGCCAGGGTCAGTCTGCTCTTTCCTGAAGTGGCAGAACAAAAATAAAGTTCTTGATTTTTTACCTGTGGTATACTTTGGAGACAGAAAGTTTATTAAATTTATTTTTAGAAGTAAAACAGTCTTTATACACAAGAGAAGTATATAACACATTTCATAATAATGATCTAGTAAACCAGTGAGCTGTCCCTTAACTGTGTTTTTGAACAACACGAAGTTCCACCTGGACTTGAGAAGAACTTTCCTGTGCAGTGACCATGCACTGGAACAGATTGTCCAGAGAGGCTGTGGAGTCCCCCTCACTGGGGATGTTCCAGAACCACCTGGATGCAATCCTGTGCCATGTGCTCTGGATGGTCCTGCCTGAGCAGGGAGGTTGGGCCCTTCCAGTCTGACCCATCCTGGGATTCATATGCTCCTCAAGTATCTGAAAGAGAGGTCTAGTGGATTAGGTAGTGTAAAAAATATATGCAATTAATAAAAAAAACCCTTGGTAACAGAGATACCATTTTATTATATATACAGTGCTATATCCACATGAATATGGATAAACAAATTCCAAATGAAATGAATAGAAAACCAGAAATCTCTAGGATGTAAAGACCATTAATGAGCATATTGAAGTTAAAAACCCAATCAGGGCATGTCATATATGTGAAGTTTTATTGATGGGAATGCAAATATAACCATAGTATAATCACAAAAAACAATTAGTAACATTTCATTAAAAGCAATTTCTTAAAAACATCTGCAATCATCTATAACAAATATACTGAACACTTGAATCCTTATATCTTTAATCAAAGTACTCTTATAGAAGTATATTAGAGATGGATAATAAAAACCCAACATTAAACTTTAATATAAAAAAAAAGGCAGTAATGCCTAAAACTGGGCATCTAAAATCAGTAGGTATTCTTATGTAGATGGATTTCAGGAAGTGCTGATTATTCTTTCTCTGGAAAATAAATATTCCCATTTGCTTAAAACATGTCCCCCCAAAAAACAGAGGGGCATTTACTGATGGCTAATTACCACCTCAACCTCAAATGAATGCAGATGTTTATTGTTAACACAAATATTTTTTTTGTATATGCTCTCTGGTCACAAGATTCAATTTAATTCATCAATGTGCATACCTGAGGTGCTAGGTTGTCTACATTCAGTTTTCCTGGAAGAGATACTAAACTGAAACAAGTCAATACAGGATATTTTAGCTGAACTGTTCATCTTCTTCAAATCATTCTTCCTTTCCAAGGAACTTGTTCTTCACCTACTGACAAAAGGTGTAAAAGAACCCCATAGATCCTTTATTTATCTCTCATGTCTTCATTGCTTGCATCTGACCTGTTAATAAAAAGAAACATCTGGTCTTAGCACAAGATGAATTCTTGCTGCATTTTGTTTTTTTGAAAGCATAAACAGATCTAGATATTTTGGTGTAGTTGCAAGAATGGGAGACAACAAAGCATTTCTTTTTAACTTGCTCTCTCATCCACTTCTGAAATTCCTGTACAGCCAAGTTGTTTCCCCCAAATCTTGCATATTTAACAGGGAGACTCTTCACATCTAATACAATTTTTATCTTCTTCAGGCTTATAAGATCACTTTGATGACCATAAGACCTGGAAGTTTGTTTTATGAAGTATGCATTTCAATTCCTTGCAGGCATTTTGGCTTCCACCTAACTGAACATGAACTACCCAACAGCAAAAGATTTAAAGTTTGGTTTCTAATAACTCACATGAAAACTTTGCAGTCTGTAGCCACACTTCTCCATATTGCTGCTGCCTGATTGCCACTTCTCAACTCACTTCCAACATTTTCTTGGTTACCAAAAGCACCCAGCATCCCATTACAAAATGTGGAAATCAGCACAATCTCTCCCACTAAGGGGGAATGCTGTGAGACAGGTTTGTTTTACTCTATGGAGGATGTGCTGTTGCAAAAGCAATCCCATTACAAAATAGGGAAATAGCAAAGTCAGCCTTCACTAGGGAAAAGAACCCACAAAACTTTCTGCTCCTGCCACCCCAACTGTGAAATGGGTCTGGAATGGGTAACTAAGAAAAGCTTGGCTGCTGACAAGAACTCTGCACTCATTCACCAGGTGTCATTTCCTCCTCTGAATTTTATGGCACCCTCAGGCTGTGATTTAGGGACTACCATAACTACAGAGTTGTTCCAAAAATTTCCATCTGGTGCTCTAGGAATGAGGAGAATCAAGAGTAAAAATTTGTCCTTGAAATATCGAAGTATTCAGCCTTTAAACATATAATTGCCAAACTACATGTGCTTAGGTTAACAGTACCATTTAAACTCAACCCCTCTTTAGCTTTTGGGTTCACTGAACCAGGGACTTAAAGGAAATTTTCAGATAGAGCCCCTTCATGAGGATTTTCAGCTCAGAAAATTAAGAAGTTTAACACTCCATAAGAAATGAATAGCTGTAAGAGCTATGTGAGTGACAGCAGAAGCATCTGCTTGCTGTGCTTAAAAAAAAATCTACATATATAAGTTAAATATTTTGTCAGAAATATTTACACAAGCATTTGAGATCCTTTTAAGTAGCATGAAGCTATGTAAAAACCCCAAATTTGGATTGAAACTCTAAAGGTTCTTCCAAGAGAAATGGAGACTCTGAACATAGCAAGAAAACCTTACTAAGCCAGAACTGTGCCTGAAATTAGGAAAAAATATGATTTGGAATCTGCCTCTATGATGACAGGGTACAGGAGAAGAGGAAACCCAATACCAAAATCCTGGTTCCCTACCCCAGAATTATTTTAGCTGGTGGAGGATACATCACTGCTCCTCTGTACGGCAGTAAATCTCTTTCTAAAGACTGTTTCTGGCGAGCAGCCCTCCCTCTGAAAACATCACCGAATGGTTTTGTACTCTACAATAACCGGGTAAAACAAACAATCTTTTTCTAGCCAGCAGGACGAGTCTAAGTCGAAAGGACAGCCCGGTGTCCCCAGAGCAGTGGGGATGGGTTAGGCCGGGCCAGGGCTGGCTGCCACCCCTGTGGAAGGGGCTCTGTCCCCGGGCCAGCGCTGACACCCGGCGGCCGCCAGGGCACAGCACAGGCGGGTGCTGCAGCAGCCGAGCCCGCACCACCCGAATTCGGCACTTCACAGCACAAGCAACGCCAGCCAGGGAGCTAAAACTGGGACCAGCCGGCCAAAACTATGCCACACTTCACTAATCTAAACATTGAGCAGGAGGACAAGAGAGACCAGAACCTTACCAACACACAACAGAAGGAGACACAACATCTGGACCGAGTTTGTAATTACACAACATCTGTATCAAGTTTGTAATTAAAGATGCTGGATGTGAGACATCATCCAAGCTGGATCTGATATTTTCCATGCAGTTATGAGTGTCTGCATGTCCTATAATCGTTATGGTGTAAGAAGTTCTTCTTTTGGCTCTGGATTAAAGAGCTGAAGGTGTATAATTAAAACCAGTGTACTTGTCTGTGTACTTGGCTTATTTTCTTTCACCATTTCTTGATACATAACTTTAAGTTATGTAAAACAAGCACAGGACATTAAGAATAAATTAAAGAAGAAACTGAAGTACCACAATAAGAAATTGAAGTGTGGGAGCTGGTATTGTTTAAATGAAAGTGCTACACTGTTTTCAAGAGTGGGTATTAGTATTTCATAATACATACTCTGGTCAGGGAAGCCCACATGATGTTTTGTGTACATTAAGGAGGTAAATGAAAGGCAAATAGGAGATAGAGCTTTAGTACTCACTGCGTAATTTGATCTGACAGCAGAAATGGACATAAGGAAAACAAAGAAAATAATAAAGAAAAAACCTTACAAAATGAAAGCGTTAAACAGAATGAAAATACAGCAAGAGAATTACATATGATATACCTTGGAGCCAATCCACACCTTCTTGTAATCCTTCTCCTTTAAGAGCATCACTGGCACTGAAAGAAACAAATCAAATTTCAAAAACATTGTAAAAATACCAGTTTTAGTTGAGTCATCACCAAACTTGTAATTTACATAATTGCAAAGTAGCATCAGGTAGTTTTCTTAAGTTTTCTTTCTATGGAGAAGACTGCTCCTCAAATAATACAGAGTACCTTCCCCACAGGGAAACACCATTTCATGATATGATCTCTTTTAATTCCAGTTTCAAGGCACAAGGAATCATTCCTAGAATATAAGGGGCTCTGGGAGAGCTCCCACACGAGGCAGACACCTTGTTCTGCAGCACCTCCCTCCTCAGACAATGCTGTGAAAGATGTTTACTCCCTCCAACAGCAGCCATGAATCATGGAGTCATTTAGGCTGGAAAAGACCTTTAAGATGATCAAGCCCAAATGTTCTCCATGTGGTTCCTACACACAGTGAGAATGCTGGAGTACCAGAAGGAGGAATTATGTGTGTGTACACATTTCATTGTAACAGCAACTCCAGGAGTGGCTGTTAAAGTATAAAACCATTCTGCTACACTGAGAGCAGTGTAAATCCACCTTCTGAATCACTGGGGGATAACTGTTTAAATGCTCTTCATTCTTCAATTCATGAAAACCAGCACAGCAGTGAATCTGGACTGTAACTGCAGTTCCCTATAAAACGATCTTCCAAGAAGCTTGGGAATTCATGAGTGTGATTTCTGGACAAAAACAATGTCCAGGTAATCAAGTTTAACATGAAAGGGCCTAAAATGAAAACTAGCTTTCAGCAGCATTTAGCTGCTGATTTCACTTTTATTTATAACAGCTGAGGACTTTACAGGAAAAAAAACTAACTTCTATAAAGCACTTCTAACTTCTATAAAGCTTACATCCTTCAGGAAAAAAAGAGTAGCTCCTACAACTAAAAATCCCCTCAAACATGAAAGGGTACAAAGAGTACAGTGTCTCTCTGAATACAGAAGAGAACGGTTTATTAAATGGCCTTTCAACAACAGTTTACTGAAGCATCTGCAGAGTGGAAAAAAACTCTAAAGGTTTTATTTTTGATATTCTCAAACCTGCAAGATAATCTAGCAGGCGCACTCAATTTCCCAGCAAAATATAATGTCAACTGATCTTCTCATATCAACCCTGCTTTCTGATTTACTGGAAATCCTCCATTCCATTACTTGGCTAACAGTTCTGCTGTGAAAACTTTAAAGACACAGTCTAAATGAATGCATTATATATTTAAAGTAAGTAAATAAGTATTTTAATATTACTGTTTTAAATTTAGTGTTTCATGTGTGGAATCTGTCTTTTATCTACTCCATTTATTTTCTACAGTAGTGAGTGGCACGACATGGCTAAAATAGGAATGCACAAAGTAATGCCAATAAAAGGATAGAAAAAGAGAACTTTACCAGATATGCCAGGGCTTGTCTTTGATGTTTTCTAAGGACAGCAGCTGAGACACTTTCACAGATGACACTGCATCCCTGAGGTCCATCTTGTTAGCAAAGAAGAGAATAGGCAGCCGGCGGTGCTTGATGTCTAGGCATGAGCAGAGACAGAACTCTCAGGCCATGAGGCAGCACTCATTAATCTCTGCACGTAACAAGCTACAAACAACACAGGAGGGTATTCTGCTCACCTGTAGCTACAATCCTCTGAAGGTTGTATCCTACCAAGATGCACACACTGTTGGGTCACCTGGCCTCTGCAACATGCTTCCAAAATGTTTACAAACTTCCTTGCAGGCTTTGGAATCTTCCACCCCCTCTCCCCCTACCTTATACCCACACTTCAAGCTGGAGATAGGAATTGCTGGTGAAGCTGAGGAACAAGAGATCAAACCACGGCCTACAAACACTGCACATCTCTGCTTAATAAGGACTGGATTTATAAAATGGATGGAAAAAATAATTTGTGTTCATTCATAATATCACAACAATAGCTGAGAAGGGTAGTCTGAATTATCCTTAGTGTCCTGGAAAGCATCCATTACTTCACAGAATTCATAAAACTGGGAAAAAATGCACATGTGGACATCCTTTATTCTCCCTTGCCTAGAAGGACTTCTCCAGAACCTCTTTCAGCTAGCAGTGAGAACTACAGACCAAACAAAGTACTCTGGCAACTTCTGGGATACTTACACAAAGACAAGGTTAAACCTTACAGATTACCCCAAAAGACTACATGGTGATTGAAAGGAAACAAAACATATTCTCTTCAAAGTTACAGATGTAACACTGCCAAGAAAACTACCAGCACCAAGACTAACTCACAAAGTTTTTCATATTATTTATACAAAGAATGATATCCAGAATTAGAGAAAATCTAGGTTTTAGTCTATCCATCAGTGCTTGATAGGAAAAGAACTTACACACTACCACCTCAATGAAAATTGCTACACAGGCTCTTTTTAAAACAGTAAAAAGAAAAGGTTATTTCACACAGGAAACTAGGTAAGGATTTATATTAAAATGTAAAACATAAGCCATCTGCCCCTGCTGATGGGCAGGAGGATGATAAAACCCCCCAAAATCCCAACAAACTGTCAGTGCTGAAATGGTTGAACTTTCCTAATTATGTTCTTTTCCACCTTCCTACTAAACCTTTCTACAGAATCAGTGGAGGTAACACTACCTCCTCATATTCATTTAGAGATGCTAAGTGCTGATCAAAACACTGACAATTTTCACAAACTATTTACCCTTCCTGGAGCTCTTTTGTCCTCTGATGTCCATAAACACAAGTCAAAGGCCTCAAAACACAAGCACAGTGTGATTAAATCCGTGTTTTGATTCCATAGTTGAACAGCTATTGAGTCTCCTGACTGAAATTTTTACAGTAATTTACAGTATAATTAAATGAAGCCCGGTAGCCACAGGTTGCAGGTTACGGGTAAATTAAAACCACATAAATTAGCTGACATCACGTATGCAAACAGCCAAGTTAATCAAGGAGTTTCCAGTGTCTTCCTAAACAATTAGAAAGGGGCACAACCTACCCACCCAGACTCATAATGCACACCCAAAGATATTTGCTAAATAAAGTAATGGTCACAGAAATTTATATTATTTCCTAATGTGCATCATTTCCCTCCCACAATTTTCACAGTTACTAATGGAAAGCAATGTTTTTCTAGCTGCAAGTGGTTATGAATTAACACATTAAAAAATATTCCAGACACTAGATGTGTGATGTGCAATTTTACACAAAGAATTTCAGTTTAGTTTTGAAGCATGTGCTGGAGGTGAAGTGACCCAAGAGTCATCATCTAATCCAGGTAATCTATGACTACCATCTTTCAAAGTGCTGAAGAATGAAATTTGAGTAAAAAACCAAAATATGATACAGTTATCATTAAACAAACTGTTATTTGAAGAGTGCATTGTCCATTAATGTAAGTAAAAATAATTTATAGCTCTGATTCACAAAAGAGTCCCAGCTAGTACAACTTCTAACCCCATTAAGGCTTCACAGGACACATTCCCTTCCCTTTCCCTCAGGCAAAACTTGGCAAAAAGACAGGGAACTGTTTTACTGTGGGATTGCTAAGATTTTCAGAGACAGGAATTGATTCAATTCCATTTAAAACTTAGGTAAATACATGCATTTAAACCACTCCAGGAGGATGACACCAACAGAAGCAGAGACTGGGAGAAAGTAGGGTATGCAGCAAGAAAGACAAAACACTAATACAAATAAAAGTACTGATATTGCAAACCAGTTGTATATTGATTCACCCAACAGCTACTTTTATTGAACATTATCCTAGAAGAACTTTTTAAGCTCTTTGGTTCTCTTAGATGTGATTTATTAAAACTGATAAATCAGTGACACTGTTGCTGTGTTGGAGCTAAGCCACTCCATGGCAGAAATCCACAACTGCTGTCTCCTGGCTCTCAGGACTGCACTCAGTGGCCAGAGCCTGGTCTTTTGGTCTTCTGAGCTTGAAGACACAAACTCATGAACAACTGAACAGCACTGACCTGCTAGGCCAGCATTAGTGACCTATTAATGCCTAAATGAAAAGCCCCACCTAAGGTTGCTTCTACTCTGTCTAAACATTTTTATTCTTCTGCCCTCTGTTAAACCAGTAACTTCTTCCAGCAGCTTTACCTCTCACCCTTGGCCCTGTGTGGTTCACTCCACTACCAGAATTGGGTTTTACTGCTGCAGTTAATTCCTGACTTGGTACAAAGTGCCCTGGCCTCTGTGTAATCCACCTGCAGCCTTTGGCTCACCTCATCCTCCCTGTGACTTTTGTAACACTGTCTTTTCAGTGCCTACATTTGAAGTAGCCCATACCCTTGAATGGGAAATGAGAGCATGAGAATAAGAAGGTCCAGTCAGCTCCAGCATCTTTGTTGATGAATTAAAGTGTTGTATACAGTCTTCATGGAAAATAAAATCATGGGAACATATTTGTCCCTATCACACATTGCTTTTCTTAGAAATACAAGTCAGCTTTTCCTTTCTTATTTTCAGCATGGGAATCTTACAAGTTAAGGCTCTATCAGTTTAACAAATAATTAAGGAATCACAGGATTATTTCACTTTTAAACTTCCTAGATGTAGCTTAATATTCTGGTTAGGCAGAGCAAAAGTGCTGAAAGTCAAAATTGCATATTGCTTACAGACACATCCCAGTAAGTTGGATACATGGAAGGGCAAAGAATTGACTGATATCAGAACTTAGTTAAGGTGCAGTCTCATGTAAAAAAAACCCAACCAAACCCCTGAAAACAAGACCCTGATCACAGATCCTCTCATATGCTCTTCCATAGGGAACTGAAATTGATTGGTGCAATTATCCCTTTGGATTTCTGGCTAAAGCATAAAAAATTTTAATGTGGATGACAAAAGAAAGTTAAATGTTACATTAAAGGAATTAGCTGTCTTCATGGAAAAAACAGACAGGGAGACACAGTTTTGTCTCTGCTGGTCATCACAAGAAGCCTGTCCAGCTTCCAACTCAAAGTCTATTCTTTCTCAAAACAATGTAACTTTTGATCTATATTGATTAATAAGAGACCAACCCAACTCAGTGTAGAAAGCTGAATTGTGACCAATTTCCAAATGTGAATAGGTAAAAAAAAACAACCCACATGTTTTGGAAGATTATTGTGCTAATATTCACGAAAGGTTAAAATACTTGCAATGTAGTCAGAATGTGTCAGATAAGGGCTTTTCTTAAGGCAACATAACAAATATGGACACAGAATGGGAAAAAAGCCTCCTCACCTGGATGATTCAGAAGGGTGTCAAGTTCTTCTTTGGCCACAACCATTCTTAATTTGTCACTGCTATCAATGACAAAAATAATGGCTTGGCCTTCTCTGCATAACATAAAAAGAGCAAAGAGGCAAATTATAGGTTCTCAAAGAAATGAATATTCTGTGAATAAGAAAAGGCTTCAGAAGAAACACCAAGAAAAAAGTCCAAACAAACCTGATTTTTCCTCTAATTTTTGTCATTGTTATTTACCATTAGCATTTGAATCCTTTTTTATTTCTGAAATTCAATCTTTGGGTAACATGCATAATTTTTTTAGACATGAGGCTGTTACCTGCCCCTACAAGGTTCAGTCTCCACACACCTTCTAGAAAAGCTTGGTTTTACTGAACTTCAAAATGTAACCAACTGCTATTTTGACATTGTAGTCAGGCAGGAAAAAAAAACAAAAACCATAAAGACAGATCTTTACAGAAATTCTGTATTTCCTGTACTAAAGTTTATTTAGAGAAAGGTCAAATAATTTTTTAGACAAAACCTGTGTCCATAGTTAAGCATATGCAGGTTATTTTAACCTTTACAACATATCCTGCATAAAATGGATCTTTCTTTATTTTTTTAAATAACAGGTAAAAACTTTCAACTATTTCAATCATTAGGACATTTTGCTGGTAGTGTGACCATAGTCATAAAATAAATGCAGCTACTCAAGTCATTATTTCAGGCTGTTACTGATATTTTGACCTGATGTTCCATTTATTGAAACTTGTTTTGAAAACCAAATAAAATCTCACCAATTCATAATTCACCTGTTGTAAACACCCACAGAAATATATTTCCATGTTAATGTAATCACTTCTCCTTCATTTTACGTTTCTCTGAGACACCATTATGAATACATTCTTTACCCTCCAGCACCATCTATCTTTGTATTTTGATAAGAAACAGATCTATACCTGCTGGAAACCAGAAATAACCTGAGCAGCCCACGATTGTATGAGAAGGTCCATTCTTTTCTGGTGTACAGAACCTTTAGTAAATAAAGCTTTTGCATATTAGCTGGAAATGCCTAAGCAATTTTCATGAGCACAGAGTATTTTACCAGAGGAATGAAGAGTACTGTCATGCATTTACCACCAAAAAAGGAACTTCACAAAGAAGTATCAGGGATAGGGACACAGCATGACTTGGGGATTATTTAAGATAAATGTACTTAGAGAATGAACTAGAAGATACTTTCAAGCTAAATAGAAGAAAAGTCCAGACTTGAAGGACTCCAAGGCAACTACTTTGACACTTGCCCAGATTTAATTTCCTGCAAAATTAAATCTTGCTTAACTTTATAAACTGAACAACACATAATTATTTTATTAATATTTTATTTAATTAACAGAAATTATTGTTTTTATATTATTCTTAGAAGTTAATCTTAAATACATGCCTACTGCACTTGTTCAGGACCAGAGGAGGATACAAGTGCATATTTCACTGTCAGCATAACCTAAATCACTCCCTTACTGTTAGGGAGTTATTGTTAAGATGAAAAAGCCATTTATGCCCCACAAGGGATAAGTTACTGCATTAAATACAGCAATCACAAAAATTATTTGCTTATGAAGCACTCTGCTAGCATTTTGAGAGCAGCCTGAGGGGCATCAGTTACTGAAATGCAAATCTAACACTTGAACAATGAAGATCTGCTGGCCAAATGTTTTCAATGCTAAAACAACTTGCACAGGAAGGAGAGGAAGCATTAATCTTCAATTAAAAAACAATTTAAGCTCTACCACAACTGATATTAATATTTAATCAATATTATAATCTTCAGAATTTATCCCTTCTACTTCTCCAAGCTACTCCTGCATGGTTTTGTATTGTTCGTGTTATCAGGATCAGGATCAGGCATTACAGAATAACAATGAGACAATGCAAATAAAGGTTACCCAGAGAATGGTGTCCATCTATTACCAAAAGGCAATACCAGAGTGTTATAAATACAGAGAATATCCTGTTTAATAAATGACATTAAGAATGTTCATTCAGGTTCTTAGTTACACGTGCCTTATCCTCTGAGCTTCATTTCCTTCACCTCTAAAAATCTCAGCCATCAGCCAATATCTTGCAGGTTTTAAGTTGACCTACAGGAGAACTGAATAGCTGAAAACCTAACTCATCTTGAGCTTTCTTAGAGGATTTGTTTTCAGGTTTCAACATTTAAATCTCATCTCTAGTATGTTCCCCAAAGTTGTCCCCGAAAGCACAGAGTAACACCAGATAAAAATTTTCATTTGTTAGAATAGAAAGTTTTATTTATCCAGAGTAAACCTTCTGTCAAACACCAGGTATAAGCCTTCTCTGAATCATTTCTAACCACTAGATATTATACCTCTGTTTAAATAACCTACACAACAGTTAACATGAACATCAATGCTTTAAAATAAATTACAGGCTTACTTGTAGTAGTGTTCCCAGAGGTCTCTGTATTTCCCTTGACCTGACATATCAAACACTGTGAAAGACAAACTGCAAAGAAAAGAAGTGCATGAGGCCAAGGAAAAAAGAACAAAACCCAAACCACATCCATTTTCTTTGCTACCCTGACCAAAAAAAAAAAAAAAAAAAAAGCCAGATCAGTTTGAATTCCAATCAACTGAGAAAAATTCCCAAATGAACTCTGGTTGCACTATCTGCCTTCAAATGATCCTACTCAGTTTTGCAGCCTTATTACAGAAATATTTCACAACGGGAAATCTGTTTATTATCTGAATAAAAGAACTAAACCAATTATTTGAATTTATATCAAATGCAAAATAAACACCCATTCAGTCTCTATATCATGCTGATATCAAATACTGTTTATGAGTAAATGAAATTCAGATGAACCACGACTTAAAGTCCATAGCTTGTCTTAAATTCTGTCGCTAGACAGGTATAAATGTGGGCAAAATAAAAGGCTTTTTTAAAAAATAACTAAATTCCACCTTTAGGAAAAAAAAAAAAAAAAAAAGAGTACATTTTGGTAAAATGGGTGAGTTCAGATGACCAAGCTAAAAAGAACAGTCTTTGCCACTGTGAGATTTCACCCAAACACTACATACAGCAAGGCAACTTACTGAACACTACTAAAAGTTCTCATCTGCTCCTGAAAAGTTTACAGAGGCAACATCGAGTTCAGAAGTAGGCTCTCCTTTTTGGGTAGGCCCAAGTAGCTCTCCAAGTGGAGGCCCCCAAAAAAAGGAGGTTAGAAAAAGGAAGCTCTCCAGACATCCTTGCCACTCCATGTCCAGAGAGCTGTGGGTTTGTCAGTTTGTAGAGTTTGAGGTTTTGGGGTGGGATTTTTAGGGGTTGTTTTTTTTTTTTTTTTTAAACATTCTACATGGTGGATTTACAGGTCATCATCTCTCCTACTACAGGATCAGAATAAAAAAAAGCAATATATATTTACATTCTCACATGTGAAGTCCCAAACTTGTCTGATGTACTTTATTGGGACAGAGCTCAGTTGTGGAAGCTCTTAGAGAAATACGAAACCTCTCAGTCTTACACATCAGCTCAAGGAATAAACAATTTTCTTGCAGATCCCCCACCCAGTGAGGCCACACTGCTTGGTCTGAAGACTAACTGCACAAATTAAAAGATCCAGTGAAGGCTAAAAAATAAAAAATGGTGCCTCCTCCTTGAAATATCCTCGTGTCACGACAGTCTTTTAATCTAAATCTTAGTCTTCACTCAACTAATGACTTCTTACTCTGCTTCCTGGCCTTTGCACCTGCCACCTTTACATTGCTAAAGCTGTAGCCATCCTTTTGCATGTAATGAGATTACACTGCAATCTCTTCAGAGTACCTCCAGTGAGAGTGCTTAATTTAGGTTACCAGATTGAGAGTGGAATTTAGGCTGCCACCTCAGCAGCTGTCTCTCCTCCAGTCTGTAACAGTGCCCTATTCTGAAACTCTCAACAGATAGGGATCAGATGTTTATACAGGCTACTGCAAAGAAACTAAAAAAATTTTAAAAATTAATACTTTTATAGCAGCACAAAACACACATTATATTCTAACACACAGTCCTGGATCATGATTAGGTCTCGTGGGTACTACATTTTAACAAACTGCAATGTCAAATCTTTACACCACTACACATGGTACTCAGTTACAAACCCACTGAAAGAGATCATGAAGTCCAACTATGGTGTAATAATCATTACTGCTAATGAAGAAAGAAAATACTACCTTGAAGTTTTGAATTTCTCTATACTGAATCCTATTGTTGGAACGATGTCCTGAGTTTGAGCCTTTGAAGAAAAGAAAGCACAGATTTTACAATCAAATTGGAAAATGCAAATACTGAAATATATTTAAAATATGAATACCTTACAGATCTATTTTTGCCCCAAACTGTGAAATATTAAGAAAGTTCCCAGAAAAGTAAAGTTTTTCAGAATCAAGGGTTTTGTATTTTCTGGGGAATAGCGTAAACACTACTGGAATTGCCAAAACACAAAGCACTATTAAGAGATCTGTCTGATAACTGATTTACTACTGAGCTGGTCAAGGAACCTCTCAGCCAAGTTGGTGGAAAAGAACAGCTCCTCTAAGAAGCATGGATATTGAGCAGGAAGAAAGGTCACATCCCATAGATTACAGAGCTGTCTGAGAAAGTGACATGCAATCCTAGCCCAGACTCCTAGAGCCCCTTATTCCAAACACCACCCATAGGCAGGTCCAGCAGAAACAACTGCAGACAGATGGAAACACATTTGGATTTGCCAGGCCCTAATATATTGCTCCTGGGGCAAAGCAGAAGTTCTTAAGAAGACTGAGTTGACCCAGAGCTCAAAATAACCTGTCCATTGAACTTACTAAAAAGAAAGAGTTTTATTAACTTTGATCTAAAGACATTTGTTGCATGCTAGACTATCTGGCATGTCTTGCAAGGGCAGGACTTACGCAAGTTGGATACAAGTTATCCTCCTATAAATTCTCATAACAAACAAATTCTATTTATTCTACTCATGTAATTCCACTGAGAGCTTCTCTAATGCCCATTATTGTGATAAATCTTCAAGTTTGAGTTCAACTGTAGTTAGGAATCCTTTACTGTTTAAGGCATGACATAAAAACCCTCTACAAAAAAGGTCTCAGTAATTACATAAAGTACAATTTGCCTGGTACACATTGTAGCCTTTCTCCCAAACAACTGGCAGCAGATAGCAAGGAGTTTATAGTCTTTGTTATAAATCTACTCAATTTTCAGTGGAAGAATAATTGCCAGGAATGGAAGAGTAGCAGACTCACCACTATGTCACACTTTTTAAACAATGTCCCATGGACTCATCAGGTAAAATTTAATGAAAATTCATAAAAATAATAAAAAAAGCTGTGTCCTGATATAAATAGCAAAAAGCACTTTCCCAGATGCAAATAACCAAGATGCACAACCTTTGGCTTTGAACATGCCTATCAAAATTAGTCTATTTCTAGTCCATACACATATCTATAAACAAGGATCCTACTTTCAGAATATTAGGCACTCCTAGTGGCCTCAAACACTTTTCACTGGACGAATGAACCGCAAGTATTAATGGTATTTATTTTGAAAATTATTCTGCTTTAAAAATAGTGAAGTCACCCTTAAACGTGCATCTTCTTTTTATTTCCTATTTTGTTATCTCTTATTTTTCAGGAAGAAATTAAAATAAACATGATAAGCTGTTGTACAACTGTATGAATCCTAAATGTTCAACATCACTTGTAACTGTAATCCTGTGACAATTATTTAAGTGATTTAAGTGGCTCTTCCAGATCCTGATTTCAGCCATCATAAACCCTTCCTTGTTGGGTGATCTTAACAAAAGTGTGCCACGTTAACAGTGGGGTTTTTCTGGAAAATAATGTGCATGTGAATGCTTACCCTTAGTTTTAGTTAGCTGGAAAATCTTAAAATATATTTGTTCCACTGTGCTAAATCACAAGCTCTTCACATCTTTTCCATGGGCACATCCTTTGTAACAGCATGCAAACCCAGATCACACAAACCCCCAGCAGTGAACCATGCAGGCTACTTACATTTGAAGGTTTAAGTTTATTGATGATCGTTGTTTTGCCGCTGTTGTCCAAGCCAAGGCACAAGACGTGAACCTCCTTTTTCTTCAGGCCAAGCCATCCTGCCAGCTTGTCAAACAATCCCATGGCTGTGGCTGGAAGTCACAGGGACCACAGGCTGTTCAGGGAATCAGAGCTGTTGGAAAAGTGCTACATGCAGGGCAGCGCTGGCACCCAGGGGGGCATGGGCCCGAGCAGCCTCACACCTGGGAGGGATGGCGTGAGCAGGACCCTACACAAACACAGCCCCAGGGGCTGGGCTGCACATAAGCACATGGAGGGTAAGCTGATTACAGCCAGGATACCAAAGTAGCCTGGCTGTTTATAGCCCTGTCTGTATCACACAATGCCCTTGATTCACTGGGCAGAAAACCTTCTGAGCAGCCCAAAGAGGGGCACGGCTGCAGCGCCACCAGGGCTCCCACCAAAGTGAGCAAAACCAAAAGGAGGGTCATTATCTTTACCTCAAATTGTCAGCAGTACACCATTCAGACAACAAAACAGTATTTCCCTTCTTCAGCACCTGCTACATAATTTACTGAACCCTGCATTAAACAAAACACTCTCTGTTGATTCAATTCAAACTCTCAATTTGCCAAAATTTTGCCAATACTGACGTGTATAAATTAGGAACTCTTTGTTCACCACAAATAGAAACTGATTTAAATAGATCTAACAGACACCAAAACATTCACCCACACGTTAGGGAGATGCCAAACCTCTGCTGCTGCCCAGACTGTGGCTGAAGTTACCTGGCAGTGGCACATTCAAAGGAGATTACATCACGTGTTGCCCTGCAATACCTGGCTAAATGCACTCTGCAAAGAGGATAACCCTTGTCTGCCCTCAATGAATTCCACCAGAAATAATTGCAGCAATCAGACAACTGAAAACTTTGCGATGCCTTGAATAATAAAGTATTTAATTTATGTCAGAGGATTTCTGGAGTGGCCAAGCCTGTTTTTTTCTTAATAAATTAAAAACACACTGCACTGGATAACTCAGGTAGCAAGCTGAGGAAATCATAGCAGGAGGGGGAAAGGTAAAAAAACCCATCAATAACAAATCTTCGATCACACTCTTTTACTAGCTGACTACAAAATGATGGTTAACTGCTTTTTAGTAATTTCAAAACTTTGCATTTAATAAAGTCACACAAGTAATCATTCTGGCTAAAGGATGATTTTTCCTTTTTAAAAACAGATCTTTCTTAGAGCTTTCCCTTGTGCATTTTGATTCAGGACTGGGCATGATCTACATTACAGCTACACAGAATTATTACCAACCAATATTACCAAAAAATGTTGAATTGTTACCAAAACCCACAGAATTATTACCAAAAAACCAACATTAGTTATAGCAAGTCTCTCATTCTAACTTCTTTTGCTTTACGCCCCACTCCTTTTCTAATCCATATATACAAATCAGAGAGCAGATTAAAGCTGCTTATTATCAAATTAACCTGACAAAACCCTGCTCCAGCACACATTACTTTCTTATCCAATCAAGAGCTTCATCCATCTGTTATAGATGAACAAAAAAATAGAGGGTTAAAAAAATACATTCCAGAGGGCCAAATAATACTTTGTAGGCACTCCTAAAATGAAACAGGAGGAAATACAAGGCCTTAAAAATATTTCTAGGGCTTCACTTTTAAATCCAAAATCTTAAATACACAAAAGTTGCTAGAAATATTTTAATTAGAGACATGTTTTTGGAAATTAGCAAAATTTCCTACTAGTTGGCACAGTCATTATTTAAGAACACAGAGGGAAAGAAATGCACCCTTGACTTCTTGCCCTGCCCCTATTCTCATGTTTTTTCTCAGCTGTGAAGAGTTACAGCAGCTACAGCTAACACAGGTGCCATTTTTCCCTTTTTTTTGCCAGCTAATATTTTGCCTACAGTGACATACAGCATACATCAGACATCTCAGAAAATTATTTAAGCCAGAGTCTGGTCCAGGAGCTTAACAGCAAACTCTCTAAGCTTTTTTATTAAGAAAGGATGTTCTTTCATGTCTGATCTTTGTCTATTTTCAAACCTAATCAACAACACAGGAGATTTAATCAGTGAAATAGAGAGCAACCAACAAACAAGCTCTAAGCGATGTCCAGGTGTTTGAAAAACAAATGAATTTTTTCGGTAGAACTGCCTTGTGTAGGTTTAGGGCTGGATAATATATTTCAACGGTCTAAGATCCAAAGAAGGGAAAGACGGAGCATGTGGGATAATTAGCATGGGAAGCAAGAGAGTCACTAGCCACCAGAAGGCAGGATACCAGCTGATCAGAGAACTAGGTGACATGCAGTCAGTGAACATAAACGCCTTTGTTTGCTAAAATGTACAAACAGTGAAAAGCTTTGGTAGTGGCCGGGCTGGATTTGCCGCCCAGTTCCCCTTTCTGCGCAGAAGCAGAAATAAATCAAATACCTGGGCTCTGTGCGTGGCTCGGCCTCTGGCACACTGGGTGCAAGGACCCAATTCGGGACAAGGCCTGGCAGCTCCCGGGCCGGCCTTCCCTCCCTTCCGTCCGCACCACAGGGCCTCGGCAGCGGCCGCGGGTCCCTTCTCCCAGGCCAGGACAGGGTCTTCCTCTCCCAGAGGGTCCCCGGGGGAGGCCGGACCCGGGCCCCCCTCCCCGGGTGCGGCCCCGCGTCCCCGCGGCCGCAGCACCGACCTGGGCCCGGGAGGCGCCCGCCGGGCCCGCGCACCGCCGCCGCCGTTGCCGAGGAAACCGAAGCCCCGCCTTCTCTCCTCCCCACCAATCGCGTCCCGCCGCCCCACCCGCTCCGCCTCTTCCGGCCAATGGGGGGAGGGCGTTGGGGCGGGGCCACGCCCGAGGCCACGCCCCCAGGCGGTGGGGCTGAGGGGGCGGGGTTGAGGGGCGTCCCCTTCATTCTCCGTGTCCAGCGCCTGGGGAATTGCTTGTTTCCAAGCACTGTCTCTCTCTCTCTCTCTCTCTCGCGTGCTTGGATAAATCCTCCTGGGGATTGCGTTGAGCACAGAAGGATACCCCTGAGTCAGAACGGCCACCCGAGGTGTTGACAGCACCGCCCGTTCCGAAGTGGGCGCTTTGGCAGAATGGAAAATCTCAAATGCACGCGTCACTGGGGCAGTGACAGCAGCAAGGCTTGGGGAGAAGGCAGCCTTGCTAGGCCAGGCACAGAGGCTGAAAATACACTTAGGATTTTTTTTTTAAAATTCTATTTTTTTATTTCATGCATAGCATAGTGCTGTCAGATTGGTTCAAGGTCTGCTGTATTTCCTGTATCAAGAAGGTTCCGAATAAAAGATGAGATTCCCTTGTAGTGGCATTATGAGCCACTGAAGGAACAGGCGGGTAGCATTAATCCCACAGTGAAACTCTAATTAAGCACTTCCTGGACTCTAACCAAGTTGTGAGGTACATCTGGTAGAGAAGAGTGTTTCTGTCTGAAATCAGCCCCTATCTGAGGTGTCGTTCTGAATTCAGTGGAGAACGCAGAACGGCAAAGGCATTTCTGTAACCAGATCTAAAATGAAATATTCATTCTTCATTATGTACACTGTGTTAAACCTGACAGTCCTTGGTGAGAAAGCTCTTCCCATGTAAAATAAAGAGGATGTAATGGACTGTGGGCATCTGACACTCATTTCCTATTACTTTACAGTTACTTCTGTTCAGTCTTGCATTGCATGCATGTGATTTTATGCAATGAAAGGCTCATTATAACTTTAAGCTTTTTGAGGTAGGGTCTGGTTATTGTATATGGCATTCACTTCTCTGTGAATTTTCGTGCGTTGCCCTGGAATTATTTACATAATATGATCAGTTTTAAAACTGCTTTTGTCAGTGAGAGCTTTGACAAATACTAGAGGAGTTGCATGGCTCAGTGAATCACCATGAGGAGGGTGAACGGTACTGCAGAATCTTAATTGCGCATTAAAAGCCATTTAAAATTCAGATTCACAGTGTTTCCCAAGGAGAGAGCATGGCTGTTTGCAGCTTTTAATGTGCATGTTTTTTTTCCCTGATGCTGTGAACTGTGTGTGCTTTTTGAGCATAAATGCTCAGTGGTAAGCACAGAAGAGCATTTTTTAGCTGAAGAAAACAACACCACCTCAAAGCATTGCAGGTGTTGGAGAGTATTGCCAGTCCATCTTTATTAGTACACCACCCTGTGTTAAGCAGCTGGGATTTTTTTGCATGATCATGTATGGCTTCACTGTGGATCATTATATTAGTAACTTAAGGCCAAACAAACACCATTAACTCAAAAATAACCACCAGTACTGTAACTTTTATTTGCTAATAAATATCTTAATAAACAGGCTTACCCCATCTGTAAGACCTGATAATGCCTCTTAGGAAATCATAGAAAAATAAAATACAATAATAATCAATAACTTGTACTTTGTACAAAAATCTCATTATGTTGCTCAGCAGGTAGTTTTGCCAAACCCCATATTCTTTCTGCAAAGAGATGGCATATGTGATGCAATTCACCTTAAAAATACTCTAATGTTGAGAGCTGAGCATTCTATTACACTATTAACTTGTAGGCATGCCAGCACATGAAAATTTACATGAAACATCATAGTATCATAGGAATAGAATCATAATAATAAAGAAAAGAAGAGAACACCACTTTTCAGTAAATAATAACAACTTCACGTCTAATGTAAATTCCCCTTGGGACTGCAAATCATTAGGGTAAGCTTTTTATTCCACGGATATTCCTACAGTACCGTTATAAACAGGCAAAAAGAAAGTGCAGTGGGACATGTATGGGAGATGTATTAGGTGAAGAAAAGGAATTCTGGGGAGTGAGGCAGTCCCAGGGGGAAGCACCGACACTGGCTGTGCAATGTTCATCTCCCAGAAGGAGCAGCTCCAGAGGCACAGGAGCTCAGACCATGGAGATGGAGCCCAGAGCCTCTGGAACTGCAGCACCAGGGCAGCTCTGCTGGGAGATGAGTGCTGAGGACTGAGCCACGGGTAGTTGTCATTATTCAAATATATCTTGGTTAAAGAAGCAATGGCAACACAAACCTTAGCAGGGGTCTTTAAAGAAAAGGTGGGTTTCAGATTACTGGTAGGGATATGAGATCTGTGCTGAGGCCATGGTTTGATTTTGTAAAATAATTTGCAAGTATTATGACTATACCATTGCTGTTGAAGCCATCTACCTCTGAAGTTTTGACATGGCTGCTTAAATATATAATCTAAAGTGTCTGTCATCAAATATTTATTCATATATACACATACATTGATACATTTTATGGCTATGCTAGAACAGCAAACTATGAAGAGCAGTCATATTTAGTTTTGTACAATCTAATTTCACAGAAGAGACAGAGATTAAAACCCCTTTTAATTCAGATACATTTAAAACCAACACACAGAAATAGATAGAGGCTATCCTGAGAAAACATACCAACCACGTTATCTTCCAATAGTAAATCAAAGCTAATGTTTGGAAGGTAGCAAAATATTATTTTTGTATTTTTTTTCTGAAAGTCAAAGTGGTTTGTTTTTCTTTAAAAAAGTGATGACAAAATTAAAACTGTTAATTGCAGCTAAATCAATGAATGTTGCTTTGCTAGAAAATAAACTATTGCCTTTCAGTAAACAGGGTTTCACATGATCTTTTAAAGAGTTTTTGTTTTCTTGCTAAACTGCAGGCGCAATCCTGAGAAGTGCAGAGAAGTTCCCGAAGTCAGGAGGATTTATACCACCCCGGAGAAGAATGAGCCCTTTTTATGCCTCTGGGTTTTCAGTCATGGCAGCGCTGTGTGTGATGTAACTGATACCACCAGAGAATGTTGATATTGGCCTCAACAGAAGCAGATGGAAGGCTCTGTGTAAGAGCAACAAACACTGAATCCCATCACCAGAGTTAACAAAGAAACAACTTTTCCCACTTTTAGTATGAAATAGACATCTCAGCCTTACTTAGAAGAGTTGGGAGAAGAAATTACTGCAGAAGAAATGGCAGTAAAAAACTACACTGCCAATTCAAAGCTCACTGTTTCTTGGGGAGGGGCAGATAGGCAATCATGGCCATTAAGCTGTAAAATGCTTACAGGTTTCCTTATTAGGAAGCTTGGAGTGGGATGGTTTTCTTCAGATAGGGAATTAGTAAAAGAATCCAGAAAATGGAACCACTAAGAGGGCATTTGTTATTTTATTTGCTATTGTGCCATTCATTAACTGGCAAATCTGAAAACAGACTGCAGTGCACCAGGAGTAGGAAGCAGCTTGTTCAAGGAGGCAAATCATCAGCCAGAGCTTGTATTATGAAGGGGAGATCATATTGCATCCTGATTTATGTTTAGGAAAGAAGAAAGATAGGAAATTCCTATTTGTTTGGAAATTCTGTTTGTTTGATGGGGCCGGTGGTTTCATCCTGAATTTAAATCCAGAAGTTTGGGAAATTATCTGGGGAGAAAAACCCCACAAAGCCAAACAATTTCTGCTAGATGCCCTATTAGATGTGTAGGTCAGTTAGGTAACTAATTCCAAAGTCAGAGTTGACCATCCATGCCAGAGAAAACAACAAACACTGCAGCACCCAACTTTTGTACCTTGCATTTTACCTTTTCCATGTTGAAGGTAACCCAGCTTACTTGATCACATCCCTGAGGTAGCAGCCTTGTCTTTTAGGCTCAGTGCACTCTCTTCTCCCCATTAAATGAGGCCATCTGTTCCAGGAAAATCTGTAGACACCTTTGATTCAAAACCTCTTCCACTCACTTGACCCCTTCTTATGGATACAGCTGACTTTGGATCATGCCCTGAGGGACCAACCTACATCTCAACCTGAAACGCTTCAACAGAACAATTAAAACCAGCAAAAACTTTTAGCAATCCATTTGAACAACAAGACAGCTGGTGTCCCAATAAATGCTGGTTCTCTAACAAGAAATTAACCATGACAGTATTGGGATGCAGGAAAGGAGAGTCTGTTTGCAGATCTGGAGCCTACCTACAGAAAATATGGACATTGGGCTTATCCCACTGCCATGTAAGTCAGTAACAAACTCTCATGATTTTAGATCGCAGCAACACTATTGCCTATTAACACAGAAAATTCTAATTCCTCACAGTCACATCACTCTCCCAGGAATTAATTGAGATGTTGATTAAAATAATTCAGCAGGATTTGGAAATCCAGGATGTGGTAGAGCAGAACTCGCCCAAAACAAAAATGGAACTTCCCAAATTGACAATTAGTGACAAATAATCTACAGATTTGGAACACTGGCTGCACTTTGTCTTTTTCAGCTAATCCTATTTTACACAAAGAGACTGTGATGGTAAGTTATACAGCTCAGAGCACCCAGCTTCTTACAGGAGAAAAATAATAATCCTATTATGCTTTTCATTTTTCCTATTAAAAATTTTCAGTTAAAAAGCAGTCTGAATGAGAGAAAACTAAAAACTCGGTTTCTAAGCCAATATTAACTGGAAATTTCTATGTTTTATTATTTGTTTAGGTTCCTCTGAAGAAAGTCAGTATATAGCTATAAGAACAATTACTCATTCTGAATTCTGTCAGTTGGACTTTCCAATATTAATTATGACAACTGTACCTGTTTTTTTTGTTTTGGGCTAGAACCTGAA